TCTACGGAGCCAGCAGCTAAAAAACCAGAAGTAAAAAATTTCAATCAATTTCAAAAAATTTAGAAATATTTTTAATGTAGCGGGGTAACGGTGCCTTGTTTAATTTGTGTGAGACACTGTACTGACGCCGTATTGCCGCACATGCGCATACAACCGGTCCCATATCGCAACACTGCACCTGATCGCCCGGCTCCCCGAAGATGATCTGTCCACGCGATTGGTGACTTTTGGCTCCTTTGACCCTCTGCCACTCTTAATGCCCGAACGTTCCTTTGTTTCGGGTCGGAGCGTGATTTTTTTAAAAGCTTCCAATTACTTCAACGCCGCACAAAAGCGCTGCATTCTTACGTGGTTACATAGCTGGTAGTTAGATATGCCATCGATGACATAGTCAAGAGTTTTGCTCTCGTCAATTGGTACGCGATTTGCTAAAACAATTTTGTTGATAATGATCGGTAAACGATTCACTGCCCCGCCATATTCGCTGTTCAAACTCTCTGTGCAGTATCTGCCTGCTAGGTCGATGATCAAAGATTGCTCTCATTTGTCTTAATATTATAATTCGTTTATGGTTATTTCTAAATGATCCGGTTTCGAATGAAACCACCGTAACACCTTTCCTCTCAATTTAGAGCCAATTAATACTTTCGTCCATCGTTCAAGGTATACCATCGTTCAAGGTATACGTTCTTCGAAGCAGCTCGATTTGTTTTTCCCACGTTTGAAACGAATCGTTAGAACCTTGAAATTCGCCAATGAGTCCGCCGATGTTATTAATATTGATGTTTGTTCGTGAACTCTGTCCGCTATCAACAGACTCAACGGACGGTCGCAAGTCTGCCAACGTTTGATCGCGCCTCACCGACCTCTCGATTAGCCAGCTACAACTCTTTTTCCAATACTGCTTTTTCTCGGCGGAGTAAATCAAGTTCTCGCCTTACGTGTTAGGGGATTGCATCAACGACGGATGCATCCTGCATATTCCGAGCCTCCGATGGGGAGCCCGGTGTGTCTTCGTCACTCTCCACTTCTTCTGTCTCCATTGTCGCCATATTTTCCCACATATTCGGATCGGCCTTCGATAATCGTAATATTAACTCGTCCTTAGTGCCCGTCATACTAAGCTTTATTGATTTAAGTTTCTCTTTTAATTGCACAATGGTGTAGTTGCACAATGATGTATCCGATGGCTCCTTCGGCATCTCGACAACGGTCAATCACGCCAAACACACAGCGTCAGTCCCGCCCTTCAATTGCAGGTAACGATCCGCACGCCGCGATCACAATTCGCGCAACGCGTCTCAATTAATAACGCGAAACACAATCGCGATGTAAAATTAATTGTTCGCTATCAACTCCGCGAGTCTCGATCTCACTTCTGAAGAAAACTGTAGGACGTTTTTCGATTATTTAGCTCACGAGTCGATGCCGGTTCGCGATCCGTCGGATTGCCTATTGCGATAAAGCTTCTCCGTTATATTGATCCTTTATCTTTTGTTTGGACAGGCGTCAAGAAATTATTCCGTACTTCAATCAATGGTGCGTTCGGGGAGCTCACTATCATGCTATCAACGCTAACGCTACTAGCTCCGTTCACAGAGCCAAGATAGCGTTAGTGAATGCGAGCTCCATGAACAGCATTAGCGCGGTGTTATGGCGCCATAGTTACTGCATAACGTAAAGCGATTTATCTCAGCTGTAACAATGGATAACGGAATAGTGGAGCCAAATAGAAAAAATTTATTTACAGCAATAGCACTTATAGTGCAAAAAATAATAGATTCATCATCATCATCTTCTGAAAGTGATTTAGAAGAAGAATGTCTAACTGCAAAAGAAATTAATTAAAGAAGAAAAGTGCCTAGAGTACAGAATTATGTGGAAAGAATAGTGCCAGCATTAATTGATCAGGATTTCAAGGCTCATTTCAGGTATTAGCAAAGTAATTTTTTTTTCTTATAAAAAATAGAGTTATTTATTGGTTATTATTTAGTTGTACTAAGATAAAAATAAAAATGCTTATTGTATTTAAAGTATTGTATTTTAGGATATCTCGCGGAATTTTCGATTACCTTCTGTCTTTCATTCAGCCAAAATTACAAAGGCAAAAAGCTGGAACATCTATGATCTTTCCACAAAAGCAATTTTTATTTTATTCAATTATGGAGACTAGCTACTCCAGACTCTTTCAGGTAACACTTTCTGGATTATCAAATTATATATTTGAGAATTCTTATGTTTTTTTTTATGTTTAGGTCAATTTGCGAAAGATTTAATGTCGGTAGAAATACTGCGTTGTATATAACAAAACGTGTTGTAAATGCTCTTGTTAAACTTGCACCTATTATAATAAAGTGGCCTACAGAAGAACGAGTTGCAGAAATTTGGGCAGGATTTCAAGCTACCAGTGGTTTTCCTAAAGTCATTGGTGCAATTGATGGCACACACATTAACATTCCAGCTCCCATAGACAATCCTGAAGCTTATATCAACCGGAAAGGCTGACATTCAATTCAACTTCAGGTAATATGCTTCTTTCTGCATTCTTTGAATTTATTGTAGAATATTTTTTAAAGAATTGCTTATAAAATTGTATCTATTCTTTAAAATTTTACCTATTTTTTTCAGGTTATCTGCGATTACAAATGCCAATTTATTCACTGTTTCATAGGGCATGTAGGATCTGTTCATGATCAGCGAGTGTTCCGTTTGTCAGAAGTACAAACCTATTTAGGAGATGAGTCAAAATTTCCGGAAGATTGTCATTTAATTGGAGATCAGGCTTATAAATTGCACGAAAATCTATTGATGCCATATCGAGACAATGGTCATCTAACAGAGCACCAAAAAAATTACAATTTCTGTCATGCTTCAGCAAGAATCAATATTGAAAGAGCTTTGGTTTATTAAAAGGAAGGAAGGAATTTTGAAGTCTCTTGAATGTACTTGCTATGGAACGTACTGACTTGATTCCACAACATATTCTTGCCCGTTGTGTGCTACACAATGTATGTTTAATAAGAGGTGATGAACTTGAAATAGAAGTCAATGAAGAAACTATTAATAATGTAGAAAATTTTGCTGAGGATATTCATGATGCTGCTTGTGTCGAAGGTTAGTATTTAAACTTTAAGTAAAGCCTGCGGCACACGGTACAATTTTTTTTGCTGAATTGCTTGCGATCTATTAAATTACTAAAAATGCTGAATATTGTATGGTGCATTTGTAGTATTTTATTAAATCGCAAGTAATCTAGCAAGCAAAATCGTACCGTGTGCCGCAGGCTTAAGGTATTCTCTATATAATATATTTTTTTTTATTATTTAATTCTATAAATTAAAATTAATTCTAATTTAATTCTATATAACTTTTTATAGATGCTGCTCGTACAGGTGTTATTAAAAGAGATTTAATATGTGCAAAACTTACAAGGGGAGGACGCGGACTTGGGGTCACCAATTTCAAACAAATTTTTATATGGCATAGTACTCTATCAGAAGAGTACTTGAGTAAAAGGATAGGGCGCAACACTCAGCCGTTTTCGAGAAAAATCGATTTGAAGTTTACGGCGTCTCTTATATTCCGGTCCTGTTCGATTGATTGTCGAGATGGCGGCGTAGCTCGGGCACTTAAGGGGATCCTACAGTTCTTCTTTACCGACATTATTTTTACAAACACTAATCTTTTTTTTAGCTATACAGATTGAAAAATCCTTCTCCACAATTCAAGTACTTATAATAACGAAGAACGGATGCTATAATATTTAGTAAAAAACAGAAAAAAATTTTAAATTACAGTTTTGTTATCTGCACGTGGCGTCAATATTTGTTTAACTTTAAAATTCTGCAGTTTTTCTGTGCGAAAGACATAGCGTCCGTTTTCGGTCTAATATGAAAGAATATCTGTGAATTTTTAAAAGTAAGTTTGGAAGCCTAATAAAAAAGATTAGTGTCTGTAAAAATTTATGCATATGTGTGTGTGCGAGATTGAGGTACGAGAGTAAAACAGAGCAATAAATTAGTTGGCTAATATTAGAACAGATGGAGCTAAAACTTGCCTGTTTACTCGATAAGAACAGACAATACTATCCTTGTTATTTCATCCTTGCGTGAGAGAGTAATATATATGTGTACGCACTAATACTATTAAACTCGTTCTTTTCTCTTTCTATCGTACATTTATTCTGTCTCTTTCTAAGTGCTCGCTTACAACATATCGCTAATTGCATCGACTTCATGCTTTTCTCACATATCTGCTTACATTTTTACTTACGGTTCTCTCTCTCTCTCTCTCTCTCTCTCTCTCTCTCTCTCTCTCTCTCTCTCTCTCTCTCTCTCTCTCTCTCTCTCCCCTCTCCCTCTGCAAGTTGATTATTATATTCTTTCATTTGTATCATTATTTTTTTATCATTTATATGGTTTTTATTTTTATAGTTCTCATCTGCCTAAATAACAATAATTTATGCATTTTTAATTTTATAGCATATTTTATTGCATTTTATTTTGTAGTATATTTCATGTATACTGCAAAATAAAATGCATAAATAAATTTATTATATAGAAAGATGAGAACCATAAAAATAAAAGAATATAAAAATTAAAATAAAAGTCACACGAATGAAAAAAGATAATGATACAAATGAAAGATTATAATTATAAATTAGCAGGGAGAAGGGGGGAAGGAGAAAGAGAGAAGGAGAGAGAGAGAGAGAGAAGCGCGAGTAAACATGTGGCAGATATATGAGTGGAACATGAAGCACTGATGTACAGAGCGATATGCAATAAACAAGCGATTAGAAAAACACAGATATAAGTATATTATAAAAAAAATAAAAAAAAATAAAATTAATTTAAAAAAATAAAATTAATTAATAATAAGAGGAATGGGAAGGAAAGAAATTTAACATAAATATATAAAATTATTTTATTTTTTATTTTTTTATAAAATTTTATGAAATACATAAAATTATATAATACGAAATGACAAGTTTGAGACAGTTTTTAATAATAATATCCCCCGGACGGCGCGGGTACAAATCCAAATGATGCCGGCGGCGCAGGCATATAACCGGATAGTGTCGGTGGCGCGGGCATGTATCCGGATGGTGCCGATGGCACAGACGCATATCCAGAAGCTGCAGGCGGCGCGGGCATATATCCAGGAGGTGCCGATGGCACGGACGCATATCCAGAAGGTGCAGGCGGCGCGGGCATATAACCAGGAGGTGCCGATGGCACGGACACATATCCAGAAGGTGCAGGCGGCGCGGGCATATATCCAGGAGGTGCCGATAGCACGGACACATATCCAGAAGATGCAGGCGCGGGCATGTATCCGGATGGTGCCAGTTGGAGCCCGTACCCTGGTGCGGTGTGCCGTTTAAAATTGGCATACTTCCTCTGCTTTTTTCTTTGTTGATTGATTGCTTGACGCACCGCATCATTAATATTCTGAAAAATAATATAAATATTAGTACTTTTACACAGATACACATACACACATGTATGTAACTATTCAAAAACAGAAGACAGAAGAGATTTGGATAAAAAAAGAAAAATATATAAAACAAAACTTCTGTATAAAGCTCTGATACAAATCACATAAAGAAAATAAAAAGCAAACGAGTCGAATTGGTTATTATTACATATATTACAGATTTTTTTTTTATAAAATGATAAATAGAAACGTTTCTGCCTATATTTTCCTCTGTATAAATAGTAAAATAAATTAAACTTACATTATTATAAAAAATAAAATTATGTCGTTTGCATCCTCTATCTGCAATGGAAAATAATTTGACAAGCTTGATAAAAAGTTATGTCCAAGTTATTGTATTTCTTATTGATGATAATCATTGGAAAAATTAGATCGTCGATACTATAGAATAATAAAATAAAATATAGAAATACCAAAATTATAATATATAAAAAGCAATTATTATATTATAATTGTAATTACAATAAAAAATTACAATTATAATATAATAATTTCTTTTTAT